TCTTTGCTCCTCTATTGGCTAAAACCAGCAAGTGTTATCAAGTAAAATCATTCTTATACCCTAGAAACATTATTATGGTATCTATTATGTTTAGCGAATGATACTGTGTTGCTATTATACAGGTTTACAGACCAGCAAATGGACTTAGAGAGGTCACTTTCTCTGGGTACATAGCTAGGACCTAAACTCTGGTTTCCATTATCAAGAAAAACACTGCCTTTTCTAATAATCCAGTTGGTTAGTATCTCTTATCTTAGGAATGTTTGGTGAAGACTCAAGGTAGCTATCCAAAAATGTCTTTCCTGTGGGCCATAATTACAGAACTGTTAGATGTAGGAGAGCAGGCTGAAGCTCCTAACTTTTCCTCATATTATGAGTACTTTGTGACCTGGGAAGAATGGCAGACCTGGCTCTGTGCTTTCTGTCTCCTTGTCATTACTGAGTCATTACTGTGGAATTTGAATGGTAAGTATTCCCCACAGACTCGGGTATTTGACTATTTGGTCCACAGTTGGTGGTAATGTTTGGTGAGGGAGTGCGTCTTTGCAAGAGGAAGTACGTCTCTGGAGAAAAGCTTTGAGAATTCAGTCTTGTCCCACATCCAGTCCACTCTCTTGCTTGATGTCTGTAGTTGAAGCCGTGCTCTCTCATCTTGCTGCTTCAGTAGGTTCTTGCCATACCTCCCCCATCATCACTGACCTTCCCTCTAAAATTGTAAGCACACATAAACTCTTTCCTCCTTAAACTGCCCTTGATTATATTCATTTATCACAGCAACAGAAATAACTAACACGTATCATCATGATCTGCAATCAGGAAAAAATCCTTTTGAATATGTGCTATTTCACTCCCCAAAATGAGCCTATAGTGCTGGGAAAAATATAAAAGCAAAAAGAAACAAAGTATATTTTACAAAAGCCATTCTAGACTTAGGTAAGCTAATTAACACTCGAATTGAAATAAATACTGAAAAAAATCTTCAGATGTTTTTAATCATGCATTCCACTGTTTTGACCTAAGCTAAGTGAGTTTTGTTAACTTGATTCTTAAAATAGGTTTTTTTTTAATTAAATCTGTTTTTAAGTCTAGATTCAACTAAGTTGAACTTGGTTATGACTTATTTCTCTATTTTCAGATATAGATATGTTTTGGCATATATGATGATATTCTTTGAGAATGTTTTAGTGTAAAAAATTATAAGATTTAAAAATTATAAAAACATAGGTAAGACAAATCACATTTTTCCCATTATATTATTTTCTAATACTTATATGCTCACATCTATAATCTATAAATATATGGGGCATATGTAAGAGAATGCCTATAGTGGATACAGGCACTGGGTCTGGGAGAACACCAGGAAGATATATACAAGTTCAGCAAATACAATTCTATTATACCAATGGAATTGTTTATAATCACCTATTGTTCTTAGTTGCTTTTCTCTTGAAAAGTCAATTTATTTGCAATCCAGGTTACAGTCCATTATCTTGGGGAAAGTCATGCCAATAACAGTAAGGATTATATCCACAAATCAAGAGCAGAGGGAGAATAAATATGTGGATCGTTGCTGTCTTTCTTGTTTATTCGGGTGCCTTTTTATTTGTCTTTAGCAGAGTATCTCTGCATAGAGAATGGTGCTGCCCTCAGTGGGCTGGATTTTCCTAAATCAATAAACAGTCAAGAAAATTCCCTATGTACATGCCATACACTAACTTGAACTAATAATTCCTCTGTAATTTCCTCTTCTTAGGTGACCCTAGGTTGTGCCAAGTTGACAGTTAAAACAAATCACTACACTTACTAAGGTAATGCCATTAATAATGGTAGTTTATAAAATGAAAAAATCATTTATTACTTGAGAAGTATTTTCCTCTTCATTAATAAGGCATTCTTCTTGCTTGTAAGAACTTTGGCTTTTCAGACAAATATTTCAGGGCTATATGAATATTCTTCATTTAAACATCTGTTTTGGCAGAATATTAATTAAATATATTTTCTGCACAAATTATTTTACTAAATGCATTCTTACTAAAGTATTTTTGTACCTTGCCTTTTCTAATGCTGGGGATAGAGCATATTACAGAAATAGAAAGCATTTCTATTTAAATGTATTCTCATAGAGAAAGATACTAACAAATCAAAATATAACAGAAGAGGTTACATGGGTTAGACAGAAATTTGAAACAGATAAGGATGAAGGAAATAACAGAGAAAGATATCACAATATAATGCAGTTCACAGAAGGCCTTGCTAGTGAAGAGATATTTAAGTAGCCTGGATAGTAGCAGATGCAGGAGGTTAGGGCCACAAGTACTTGGCATGGAAGAATAAGTAAACACCTAGGATCTAATACATATAGCCAGTGGTTTTTATCTTGGGATAGTGAAGAAGACATTTTCACTGAGGCAGGTTAGACTTAAAGAATACTTAGCATTGGACCTGGAAGGTCATGGTATACTCTCTTTGATTCTAATTGGGTCACTGAACATTCTTGTACATATCCCCTTATCTCTCCCATGACTTAGTCTCTAAGTTTCTAAATTATCTGCATTTAGGTAGAGCAGAAAGAGAGGAGTTTCATGTGGATTCTTTAAATAAATATTGGTTAAAGGAACACCTCCCAAATTTACCTCTGGAAACTAACTTCAAAATCCGCATGCTGTTTTGCCCACATTTGAGTAGGTGCTGTGCTTTATTATATTGCTTGCTCATATACAGTGTCCTGGCATAGTTATTGTACCTGCTTTTACAGCATTCTGTGAAATACTGTCTTCTGGTATTATAGTTCCTCACTTTTCTTTTCATCATAACAATTTGTGTGTGTGTGTGTGTGTGTGTGTGTGTGTGTATCTATGTTTCTCTGTGTGTCTCTGTGTGTACACACATTACACATATAGAGGAAGGAGGACAACCACCCGTGTTTGTTCTTATTCTCTACCATGCTTGAGACACTTCCTCTTTTTTTGTTGTTTGGTGCTATGAACTCCAGGATAGCTAGGCCAGGAGCCTCTGATATTGCTTTCCTCTCCCAATTCAGTATGGGAGAGCTCTGATTACAGATGCATGATACTGCCTGTGGCTTTACGTATGTTCTGGAGATTCAAACTCAGTTCATCACACATGTATGCAGAGAATTACCACTAAGTTATCACTCTAAAGATAACTATTATTATTATTATCATTATTATAAATATAAGCATGTCAGGATGGGTATCTTTAGACAGATCATGACACATGACACTTTGTGTCCACCAGCTCCCAGCTTTTACCATTCTTTCTGCTTATTGGGGAGCCATTAGCTCTGGAGACTGGCAACAACACCAGGGAGCAGTGTTATCTTGTGCCAGCAAAAAAAAATTCTGTGAAAACTTTAAGGCTATATTTTCCATGTTCTGCGGTTTTCATCTTATTCAATATATACAAATTATTCTGTCAGTTCCATAAAAGTGAATACATTGATACTTTTGGTTTTGGTCAGTTGAGCCACTCTTGTGATGGATTAATCAGTGTTTAGCAGGAACCTGTGACCTATGTGAAAACAGCTTCCAGTTCTCACCACCTATGGATGCACATGGGGCACAAGTAAGACTTATTGAAGAGCTAGGTTATCCTGCACTAGAAATCTTCCTGGAACCAGTGAAGGACAGTCTCTTTCTGTTCCTGAAGTCTAGGATCTCCCTGGCTATTGTCTACTAGTTTTCATTCAAAGCACTGCATCAAATCACCTAAGGCTCATTTGTACCACATACTTTCCATTATCATCCCCCAGACTTGCTGTATGTTTTAAGAGTTATTTCAGGCTTGCAAAAACAGTCAGCGACTCTGACCACAGAACCATCTAGAAATACTTAATTCATGCATTTATTTCCTTCATTTGTTCTTCACAAGAAAAAAGAAAAAGGAAGTTCGAAGTTCATTTTTCAGTGTGATGATACCTTTCATTTGTCAGGAAATTGCATCTTAAAAGCAAGAGTGCTTCTCTGGATGATGGGGACAGAGGGTGAAATATTACACCAATTTAAAATGCTATTACCTGCTCTCATTCCCAATATCTTTTCCCTTAGTAGTACTGTTCTTACATAGGAAGAAGGGTGGATTTTAAAAAAAATTATTATTATTCCTTTCTATTTTCTACATCACCCAGGGAGCCTCATTAGAGAAGTAAAGTGAAGGCTGATACCTTCGACAGCATGAGACAAACGATGCGGCCTTGAAGCTCTTCATGAGGCAGAGCTCAAGTCTCTGCTGAGGCGACTACCTCTGACTTGAAAAGAGACAGACTTGGCATCTGTGTCACAAGTGACATATTGCTGTATTTAAGCTCCCTCGGCATCTGTAGAAGGGTGCCCATATGCAGCTGAGATGGTAAGGACATGACCCCGTAGGCCAAGTACTTGTCCACACTTGCTTCTGCAGTTCTGGGGGATGCTTATGACTCAGATGTTTCTCATTCCTTTGCACCCCTCCCAGAAACATGCTCCTAGGGGTGCACACTCTCTGATTACTTTTCTTTTGTTCTAGCTCCTTTATAAAAATTTGCACAATGATGATAGCAACTTAAATTTTTTGATAAGTTGAATTAGAATGATAAAGATTACTGCATTTGATAAGAGCCACGCATATCTTTACAAAATAGATGATAAGCCTCTCTATCTCTTGCACATTTTCTTTCAAGGTATATGATATAATACCATCTATTTACATTAAAGGCATAGATGCTGACTTCACTTCTACAGAGTAAAACATGATCATGAGATTTCATTAAAATTATTCACTGTTTCTTACAATCTTTCTGCCCACATTGCCATCTTTCTCCAAAGATTTGAATCCTGATAGAGAGGGAAGCAGAGGGAGTCTGGTGGAGGGGGAATCAGAGAAAGTCTGGTGGAGGAAGAGGCAGACAGTGTGTGGAATTTGATCAAAAATATTGCATACTCACATGAAATTATTAAACAATAAATAAAACCATGTTTGAAGAATAAAATAAAAATACTCACTGTCATCATGCCATCCAGAAGACCAGTCTCAGGTCTGGGTGGGGCCTGCAACCTCTCCATGGACCACTTCTCAATGATGGATGACACGTGAGGGTTGTCAATATTCAGCAACCGAAATCCAGTCATATTTACACCACTGTACCTATAGAGTTCCAGATCTAATGCAAACAAGTCCTATGCAGTAAAAAGAAAGGTAGAAATTAATTAGTGATATTAGCATTCTTTATATAAAAGAAAACCAATGATTAGGGAAGCAATAAAAAAGCAAAACCACAAATGAGAGTTATTATGTCCTGTCTGTGAAAGAACATCAAATTTGGATAAATGAAGAACAAGTCATCTAGTCCTGGACCTGGGACATGATTGTGAAAGTTAACAGTTCTCTACCTAGGATGCAGTCTTTGAGGAGTTGGATGAGATCTTTCTGTCTCTTTGCCTCTGTGCTTTCATTTTATAGCTGAAGAAAAAAGTATCCAGTGGTGAGAAGTCCATAAAGAAAGTACTGGGCAATGGCACTGTCAACCCTCCTCAGTACAGCTGCTGCTTCAGGCTGCTCTGGGTCATGCTGCTGAGACGAAATGTGGAAATTGCATATGCATGTGAAGAAAGGAGACTTCTAGGAGGGAAAAGTGGCATCCTGTGGCTCCCTTATGACAACTCCTGTTCCTTTCAACAAGAGTATAAAGAATAGTCACTGGATAAGGGCTCAGAACAAGGGCCTTTAAAAAGAGACTATATTGGACCCTGTGGTTATGGGATATGAAAACTTACAGGAGACTCATTTCCTTTTTGACAGTGTCTCAGAAAACCTGCCTAACGCACCCCAGTGTTTCCTGGAATGGATGAAGCTGGTTGTAAATCAGTGAGTTATCAGTGGATACATATTTAAAGCAGAATGATCATTTCAGTTTTTATATATAAAAAGCTTAGAGTAAAATCATGCCACTAAAAATATTTCACATTTGAGAAGAAGCCAAACTAGCTAGAATAACACTTAACAGGAAAAGAAAAAAAAATCAGCTAGCAATGAAGCTGCTTTCTGAAACAGGGTCTGACATGGTCCAACTTTGGGGAGAATAACAGTTACTGAAGGCAGTGGCCCCAGACTCCTTCATGATTTGCATTTGCAGAAATGCAGCATATTCCCTCTTCTGAAAATGTCTACTGGTTGCTGCCCATTCCCAGGATAACGTAGACTGTGCAGAGTCATAGTAGGGCATCCCTGCACTGACAGCTCTGGATCAAGAGTGCTCTACTGTCTTTTAGATATAGATTTGCTCATTTATTATTTTTTAATTTAACTAAGTATGCTTGCATGTGGGTATGCGCAACTGAACGCAGGCGTATGTGGAGTTTAGAAGAGGCCATATGATCTCTGGCAATGGAGTTCAACCAGGTGTGAATCCACCTCCCAATGTGGGTGCTGGGAACCAAACACTCGAGTCTTCTGCAGGAACAGTCTGGACTCTTAATCACCAAGCCTTCTCTCCAGCTCTTTACTGCTTTTAAAACATAATATCTACATTATATTATGCACATGTATGTGAATGTGTGTGTGTGTGTGTGTGTGTGTGTATGTAAAATCTGTATTTCCTTTGCACTAACTTACTGTTGAAACTTTCATTAATGTTTACGGTCAAAGTTGGCTAGAATATGAAAGCAGTATAGGACAGAATGAAGATCAAATTGTAGGAAGACACAAGGCAAATATGAAGAATAAGACCTGGGTAAGTAGCCTTTTCAGCACGTTCAATGAATATAGAGAAAGTTATTTAGTCACAAAATCCCAGCATGTGTGCCTAGTCCCCTATGACGACTATATTAAATGTATGTGGAGTTTAGCTTCCCTATAACTTGGGGTTTCTATGTAAGACAGAATGTAGAACTTTCATTTCTTATTTGTGCCATCCCTTGTGAATGCATAATGAGGAGATCTGGAGAGCAAGGAGTGGACTGGAATAAAAATTGTACAATGTAGTTTCACTTTATAACTTCTATTCAGGATCAGTTTTCCGAGATTCTAGGGCTCAGTCTCTGAAATGGCTCCCAAGTAATCTCTCTAGAGTGTCTTTAGCTGAGGCTGGAAGAGTGTTTTGAGTCCAAAGGCCACATGGCCTTGCAATATTCTGGCTTACTTGGTTATAGGGACGACCCACATCTGTGAATAGATAAAACATTTATTTGTCTATTCTACCATTCTGAAAGAGGAATAGATGTGGTTAGCAGCAGCACAGAGCCACACAGTCAGCAAAACTTGGGTGTAGGAGCTTGCACACCACCCTGCTCTCCATCCCTACCACTAGTTCATAGTGTGATGCACTCTGTACCCTTCATGGCCCCAGGGTTGCTTCGAGGGCATTTGCTGCTCTGAGTAAGAGAGGAGGAAAGGTCTGCTCCTTGTTCCAAATCCTTTGACCTCCACACTCTTCAACTTAGCTTGTCAATTTCATTTGCAAAAAAAGTAACTTACTGACCATCCTACCCCAAATTTGGGTATGTTATGCTTGATAAGCCCTTAAAGTTTACAAAGAAAATGGTTTATTCAGTTTGCTTCTTGTGTAAGGAAGTAGAATTTATTCTGCCGGTATGTCTGGAAAAGTAGTGTAAATGCAGACTGTGTTGACTGACTTCTGAGGTCAATTGAGGAAGATCTATACTATAATTTTAATGTATTAAATGACTTATTATTATTCAGTTAATAATGTCACAACATTTCAAGAGTCAGAGATTCTTTTGGACTTCTTAAGCTTTGAACCACTATTTTCCTTAATGCTGTAGAAAGTTCAATGTGCACAGTACCTCCATAATTTCACTTGTTGAAACTTTCCCAGCCTTAACCCTGCTGTCTCCTAGACATAGGCAGGAGTGCAGCATTATCAACTCAAAGGATTCCAGGTCACACTTCAACACTTTTCTGAACAAATATAGGAATTATAGCTAGCACTTCTTTACGAGTAGATTTGTTTAATGGCATTTCATCATTCTTCAGATATATACACATTGATGATCTTTATGGTAAAACTCAAAAAAAAGAGCAAAAAGCAAAAAACAAAACAAAAAACCCAAACACACACACACACACACACACACACACACACCTGATGCTCAGCAATACTGGGTTTCAAGGAGTCTTAGGAAATTAAAGAGAATCTCCTTGAGAATAGCTGGGCTACAGCCCAGGAGGAGCTGTCTGTGAAAGAATGTGTGGAATACATTCTGAGGGGAAGCACTCACCAGGGTTGTGAAGAAATAGTGATAGTATTCAGTCATCATGCCCATGAACAAAATCTGCAACACAGACATGGGAGGAAGAATCAGGAATAGATTATAATATGAAACACATCAGAAGCATGGCTGTAAAAACCCAGGGACACAGAATGCAGAGATATGTAGAAAAATGCAGACCCAGTAGATCAGAGTCCTGAGGCCAGTTAGTGGCTGGACAACTCACTTTAGATCATCATACAGTTGGACTTACACTGAAGTAATCAGTCTGACGATCAAGTATAAAAATAGTTTCTGGCCAACACATTTTATATTTGAGATTGTGCATCATGACATGAGATTTTTGTCTTTTCTGTTTCTTAGTCTTCCAAATGCAACTACCTAGACTAGATATTGAGATTTCTTAGTCTTTATCTTTAGTACAATGTTTTTTTCTCAGATTAGAAGTCATTGTACATTGACATGGCAATGCTAGTATGCAGATATATTCACATGTGGACTTATAGCTGAACAGATCTCTGAAAAATTAGCATTTATGTCTCATTTTACCCAACAAACCTGAATTCACAAATGAATGAGAATCAGACTTAGACAAAATTCACATTACCTTTTCTATTTTTCAACACTGTATAGAGTATCTTAGAGTTAGCAGGCATCAATATTTCTAGCAATCTTTAGTTCTAGAGAACACTGGTATTAGTGGAACCATTCCAGTTTTATTGTATATTTTGTTGCACATTTTATTGTATACTTCTTTATTTTCTATTATTTTAATGTACAAAATAGTATTATGACATTGCCATATGTACATATTATTGTGCTTGTTCTTCTTCCTCACCTCCCATTGACCTCTCCATTTTTTGCCCTATTTGTTCCTCTTTTGATTATAAATCACACACACACACACACACACACACACACACACACAAACCAAATTCATGTACATGCATACCTACCATATAGCAAGATTGCACAGATGATAGAAAATATGCTTCTTACAACTTATTCTCTGCTATCTCTTTAGGATGTTTATATTTCCAGAAATTCTGACTTTGTGGGAGAAAAGGAAGGTAGCCATGAGAGAGACACGGCAGTGGTAGATAGGTACTTACTAACCAGTGAATCTACTTTTGTGCTCAATGCCAGAAAAAAAATATTTAAAATGGTTCTCTACATTATCTAAGTCAGGGCATTATCTTCCCCATTGCAGGTACTTGTATGCTACCTATGGTATGCAAAAATGGTCCTTGTATGCTACTTATGGTTCTTGGTTTTGGAATAAATAAAAAGTTCACAAGCTACATTTCTGAGGTAGTTTTCCCTGACACTTCTTTTGAGTCCTATATATAAGTCATAATCTCCTGGAAGCTTTTAAGTCAGGAATTCTTGAGCCCTCTCGTGGAGTATATAATGCGGTGGAGCACTGCTGATCCATAGGAAACATGTACCTTGGTAGTAAAGAACAAAGATATTTAGAACCTAGATTAAAGTGATGGATTCAAAAGTATGGGTAAAGACAGTACAAGTTATCAGAGGTTCTGCTTACTGGCATGGCTTTCTATAAAAGGGAACAAGGAGTGACAGACGTATTTAAAGACAGCACTAAGTGTGGACACTCATGAAACACTCACCCCTGCTAACATGGAAAACAGGGGCTAGTGAAACTATACCCTCTAAAAGTAAGATGAATGATGGGAAACTCTTACTATGATTTATGAGCTAATAGCATCTGAGTTGGTCCTATGGTGCTAACAAGATCAGACACACAGAGGGACTCTTTAAAGGTGGACTTTCTTTAGTAACATTCAGAACCACGCATGGCAAGGTCTTGTTAGCAGGCTTCTTAGATCATTCAATCATAGAAAGCTGGACTACCAGGTCAAGCAGGAATCCAATTGCTCATTTTAATTATTACTGTAAAGGGAACTATGTAAATTTTACACTAAGATGTGAAGCTGGATACTGAGTTTAAAATATTAAAGGAATCTGGAATTGAAACTAAAATATAGCTCCACCTGAGTTTACAACTTTCAATTTGACAAATTTTTCTTTTTGAACTTTGTAGAAGGTTTTGATCCCCTGTTGTGAACATGAATACTTCTTTAAAAAAGAAAAGCAATCACTGAAGCCATTATTCTATTATTGTTTTTATAGTTCCTGGAGGCAAATATTCATTTGGCATGTGTTAGTCTGTGTTAGAAATGAGGTGTGGCAATAGAGTGAGTAGCAGCTGGCAGGCTGCTCTGATTGCAAAATGGAAAATTAGGTTCTCCAGGGGTACTTGGTGTTTGTTGTACCACAAAGTTCTCTGCTCTCTTTCTTATTTAGATGTTTGGATACATATCTCTCTGCCTTTGTCCCGATTTTCCTAGAAATTATAAAACAAGTGCAGAGCCAGTGACCATAAGCCTGTCAACATTCCAGATCCAGATGAAAGCACCTTCAAGATGAAAAATGACAAGCACCAAGAGATGAAAAATGACAAGCTCCAAGAGTGGTGTTTTTTAAATCTTCACAGTAGCCTATAGGCTGGCTGAGATACAGAGTCCCATTTTTCTGAGTATGTGCTTTATAAATAAATGCACTGTCTTCATTCCATGATGTTTTCTTTGGGTGTTGGCACTTCAGCTAAAGTCAGTATGGGATTCAACAAATGTCACATGGGGATAAATGTCAATTTTAAAAATAAAAACTATAATCACAACATGGAGAGTTTTCTAATAGTTCTTCGCAGAACTGACTTTTCCTATGAGCGCCTTCGCAGAATTCTTATGCTGTGTTTGTCTGCTGAACTGAGAAGTGCTGCTCGCACTACTAAGTTAGAGTTGAAGGAAATTGTTCTGCTTGTATTTATAACCAATGTGCATGTTTCACCAACTTATCATTGCTGAGTACTAGCTTAGTTTCCTTTTAAATCATTCCTGGCACAAAACATTACATCACAAACAATGCTGTATATCAAATGTGGGATTAGTTGTGTCATATCCAGTTATACTGTTTATTCTTTTTAATTGCTTACACTGCTACGGTCTTCTAATATTATTTTCCCCAACAGAATTATTATTAAGTAGGTTTTGAAATCACATCATTGACATAGAGAGAAATAAAAATTCAGTGAATTATGGAAGCACAGGGCTGAACTCTCTGCACTGAGCAGACTCAGGCAGTAGGCTTGTAAGGTTAAGGCTAGCCTGAGCTACATGAGACAGAAGATGGAATGATGGGAAGATGAGATTGGAAGCCATTAATTCTGTTTATTGAATTTCTGGGCTCATGACAGGATTGTAGTTTTTTGACCTTTGTGCTTACATGAGGTTGCCTACTAGATCTAGCTATAAGATAGGAAAGATAAGGACATTTGCCACCTCTGTAACTCTAGCATATTAATTGCATGGTTGTCAGCATTGGGAGAAGCTTTTGGTTTTCTGAATAAGCTCCTTTTTTCTTCTTTCATAAATACAAAGAGTCAAGCAAGTGATCTTGTTAACAAGTTTGTTTTGATTTCTAGGAAGGTTAAGGCCTAAATCATGGGCTCTCCATTAGAAGTCAGTTAGAAACACAGGTATATATTCATCCTTGTGTGGACAAGTGCCATCCAGGTTAATGTTTTTCTCAATCAACTTTCCCCTTCCAATTTTCCACTGCGTTTAAGAGTCATTATCACTCTGTTTCAAATATCTTTTTCTGGGCTGCTCCAATTCTTCATAGAATAAAGATACTGTAAATAAATAATCATGGTTGGGACAAGCTGAATACCTTATTTTTTCCCTAAAGAATAGATAGTTGCCTGTTCCAATGTTGTGGAGTTGGGTTAGTGTAGCAGAAAGTCTTTGACCAACTTCATTTCCCAGAAACACAAGTAATGACTTTTCATAGTAAGTCATATTCTGTTTTACTTGAGGATCAATTTTAAGAACTAGAAAGAGGCTAATAAAAGAGTCAAGATCTGCAATCTTAGGACACTGTATCTTTCTTGGTCACATACTCCAAAAGGAGGAAGGATGGTGTGTATCTTTTTGGAGGCTCTCTTTGTGTCATGGTACTGAACTAAGAAAGGCTACATGGCTATACCTTTGTTTCTAGAAAACAAATTATGCCTTCTTTTATTTGTAGCTAGAATTGGTCGACATATGGCAGAACAAAAGCTCAATGCCATTTGGATCCTAAAAGGACATTTCTAATGATTACACTAATACTGGTATTCTCTGGCACACAGCTACTGCTCGTTAACAACGGTGATATCACACTGGTCCAGCTGCCTTGTGAGATTTCTGCAACTGCTGGAAACCTTCTATATAGTAGCTCTGGTGTAGCTCTGTTGTCCTTGACAAAGATGAGCTCTCAGAATTTGATGAATGGCCACTGAGTACACTGAGCAGCAAGCAGTCCATATGATCCTGTGTTTTCTAAGATCTAATTGACATTTAGATGGAGCAGACCTCATTTATAGGAATATAAGGCTTGTTGTGGCTGCAGAGTCATCTCCTGAGACAGAAGGAGCCAAGCATCCCAATAGCATCTCTGAGACCTAAAGAATCCTGGACCCTCACTCTAGTCTACTCTCAGAAAGCAGTGACATGCTACAGAGGCAGCAATCTCACATATTCTGCATGCATTTCCAACATTCATCATTAAGGGCAATAAATGCACCACAAATAATAATGCACACATTATGCTGTGTCTGTAGTAGCAAAGCACTAAAATGGAGCCTGGAGTCCTCCTGTGCTATTGTGGGGGGTTTTGTAATATTTATATGGCTTTTTATTGCTGCTTCTTCCCTCGAAAAATGCATGTCCTGGAAGTTTATATTGACTAAACTGAAGTATATTGCTACTTTTATAGTTTTCTCAATAGAAGGATGAAGTTCCAGCCATCATGCCATGGTTTCTAGTCAATAATTTCAAATGAATAACTTCCAAGTGTGCAACATGTACTGTAGCTAAAGTGAGGACTTTACCCCCAGACAGGAATAAGCTCTTTCTACATAAAAATCTTCAGAAACGGTGGGAGAGCATCGAGTATCAGAGGAAGAATTTTAAGATAAAAATTTGTGCTCTAGGATG